GAGCTGTGCCCAGCCCGGCTGCGGACGGGCCGCCCGGTGGGGCCACCTCTATTTTGTGTGAGTGTTTCAGATCAAGAAGGCCTCCCCTGGGTTCTCCTCCGTGGGCACCCCCAGGGCAGCACCCACCCACATGCCCCCCCCACATTTGCTCTTGCTCTCTTTCCCAGCCGGCTTCGGCGGCATCGTGGGTCTGGGCCGCCTGGGGATGGGCTCGGCCAACTTCATGGAGCTCCAGCAACAGATGCAGCGCCAGCTGATGTCCAACCCGGAGATGCTCTCCCAGATCATGGAGAACCCGCTGGTCCAGAACATGATGGCCAGCCCGGACTTCATGCGCCAGATGATGGTGGCCAACCCGCAAATGCAGCAGCTGATGGAGCGCAACCCGGAAATCAGCCACATCCTCAACAACCCGGAGCTCATGCGCCAGGTGGGCGAGTCTTCCCCTCCCGGAGCCCTTCTAAAGCGCTGCTCCCCCCCGAGACACTCACGCGGACGCTCCTTCCGAGATCTGTTCAGCCCGGGCCGAACCTGGCTCAGCAGAAGGTCGTTTTCTGTGTCAAAGGTGTAAAGTTTGGTTCACTTTGAGCGGGTGAAGGTGGCCACTACCGTAAAATGCTTCGGGTCTGTGCATTTATGCCAGTTCCAGGGCTGGGTTTTTCCCAACCTACAGACGGACGAAGCCCCTCGAGCGTTTTTCTGCTTGTCTTTCTCCCCTCTCAGACGATGGAGTTGGCGCGCAACCCGGCCATGATGCAGGAGATGATGCGCAACCAGGACCGAGCGCTGAGCAACCTGGAGAGCATCCCCGGAGGGTACAATGCCTTGCGCCGCATGTACACGGACATCCAGGAGCCCATGTTGAGCGCAGCCCGGGAGCAGGTCTGCGGAGGCTGGGTTTTCTCCCTTGGTTCTTTCTACGGCGACGCAGAATGAGACAGAGCTTTGGCGACACCGCCGGGCCAGGTGGAGGGCTCTCCACCGGTCTGTTTCTGCCGCTCCCGTGCCAAAATATAAGATCGTTTGGGTGGCAGGAAAGTCTGCGGTGTCTGTTTTTGCATTGAAACAAACCCCGATCTCCTCTTCCTCCCAAGGATTTCAGACTCCAGGTGTTTTTTTTTCTTAAATGTTTTCTATCATTTTCTGGGCCTGCTGCAGCCCCCGGAGTGAGTCCTGTAAGGTTGGAAATGGGTTTTTGGGCCCCCAGGAGCTGGACCTCTCTGGCTTTAATAGGACCAACCCAGGTTCATAATTCTTCGGCAGGCCTTTCTCCTCTAATACCTAGCAGCGTCTCCTCTAACGGAGCCGGAAGGGCACGTGTTTGTCGCTGGAAAGAGAAGATTAGTTTCGCTTTGGAGATGGCCATGCTTTTCTTTCAAAATTCATCCTAACAAAGAATATATTGACATACATGATCTTTTAAATTAGGAATCTGTTCTTTCAGGATATCCTGCCCTCGTTCTGTTCCTGCTAAGCCCAGGAAGCAAAGCCCAGCAGCGAGCGGGGAAGTCTTGTTGATCCCGCCGTCTTTTTCCTTTGTCTAGTTTGGGAACAACCCTTTCTCGTCCCTGGCCGGGGGTTCGGACCACCAGAACTCGCAGCCGCTGCGGACGGAGAATCGAGAGCCTTTGCCGAACCCCTGGAGCCCCACCCTGGCTTCTTCTCAGACTCAGGGAGCGGCCAGCGAAGGAAGCAGCGGGTCCGTCGGGAGCCAGAGCACCCCCACGGTGTCCAACCCCTTAGGGATCAATGCCGCCAACTTAGGGACAGGTATGCCTGACTGTGTCATCCCGGAGGGGGTGAGTCTGGCCCCCTGCATAGCAAGAGAGGCAGAAGCACTGGCAGCGATGGGAACTGAGAAACACAGAGGCTAAAATAAGGTTTATCTCTTTTCCTTTTTTAGATTAACTTTTTTTTAGTGGAAGTACATAGAAAAATGTTTGAATTACTTCTTATTTTGGAGTCAGATAACTTTTGAAACAAGGTGGCCAGAATCCTGTTGTTTGCATGTGCTGGTGTTAAGCGTCGTGACATAAGTTGCTGTGCTGAACTGCTGGTAGTTAAGAAGTTGCCATTTTATATTCCTCATTGCGTTTGCAGTCACGTTATCCGCCTACGGTGAGGAGAGAAAATGGCAGCTCCTTCACCAGCAGCGGCGGCTGTGTTTATGTGGGCAGAGGTAATCAACAGGATTCTGGGTGGCCTTACCCATACAGAACACCAGAAACTCGGGAGGTATATTTGTAAGACAGCGTATAGAAATAGAGGACAGAAAATCCTGTATATACTGTGGATATAGAGTTTTGTGCATTTGGGGAGGGTGGCCACTTTCCTCTGACATTATGTTGTTGTTGTTTTTTCTTCAACAGAAAACATCTTCACCCTATGGTGGAGAAAGTTTTTTTTATCAAGTTGTGATTGAAAGCGACTTCTTGATCAGCCTACGCTCCGTTCCTTCCCGCGTTTTCTTCTGTTGTTGCAGGAACGTTTAGTAGTCCCGAGATGCAGAATCTCCTGCAGCAGATCTCCGAAAACCCCCAGCTCATGCAGAACGTGATCTCGGCTCCTTACATGAGAACGATGCTGCAGGTGCTGGCCCAGAACCCGGATATTGCAGCACAAGTAAGGGCGGGCCCGGGTTCCGCGGATAGATACCTTGCATGTTGTTGAACCTAAAACTACTGTCAGCCACGGGACAAGCCCTAAATGGAGGGATCGGCTGCAAAGGGGATTCTCTTGCGGTCCAGTCACCTCTCTCTGTAGGATCTGTGCTGGCAAGGCTGGCTTTCTCTTCTGAGTATCCCCCTTCTCTTTCCTTCCAGATGATGGTGAATGTTCCCCTCTTTGCCGGCAACCCTTCGCTTCAGGAGCAGCTGCGACTCCAGCTGCCCGCCTTCCTGCAGCAGGTGCGTCCGGCCAGAGGGCCTCTCCGGGCCTTTCGGGGTTGGCATGGGGTGAAGCCTTTTGGGGGCTGGAGATCTGGGTCGAGGTTAGCAGACGAGGCGTGTGGGGCTCTGGCATCACGCGTTCTCTCTTCCCTGGAAGCCCCGAGCATCGCCCAAACCTGTCGTTTTCTTATTGTTGATTTTGTAGCCTCAATGCTATTATTTATGGGGCTGGTGACTTCGGTTTACAAGCCCAAAGACTTGGAGCGGGACCTCTGAGGGATCATGGCCTGGTTTCTTTCTGCCTTTGCGGGTGGAAAGAGAGGGTTTTCAATCCAGCCGCGTTCACAGAAGGGGCAAATCGTGACCCTGAGGTGCTTCTGGAAATTGTGTGCCCCTTCTTGCTGGGTTGCCGAGGGGCACCTGGGCAGACGGCCCTACATCAGGAATAGAGAAGGTGCCCTAAAAGAAGACGTGGGGGGGATGCATTTTGTCTTGAGCGGCGAGAATATCCCACCCCCCCAAGGTGTCTTGGTTGTGATGATGCATCTGTGGTTTTTGCTTTCTGGTGAAGGACAAATTGCAACTGAAAGCCTTCTTATTTCATAAGAAGCAACTCTAAATCCCCCCCACCCCTCTGGGGTAGAAAGCTGTCGGAGAAATGGGGACCCGCACCACCCAGCATCCGTACGGATCAGAACGCCTCTGCCTGGCGGCTCACTCTCAGCTCCTGTCCCCTCCCTAGATGCAGAACCCCGACTCTCTGTCTGTCCTGACCAATCCTCGTGCCATGCAGGCCCTCCTCCAAATCCAGCAAGGGCTCCAGACGCTGCAGACGGAGGCCCCCGGATTGGTGCCCAGGTAAGGAGGGAGAGGACAACAGTGGGAGAGGGGCCGAGAGCCATCGCCGAAGGGGTTTGCTCTTCCGGAAGGGTGGGATCCGGGAGCAGACCTGCGCTGGGCAGGGCGAATCAGGGGATCACCTTGGGGTCCAAAGCAGCACAAAATCAAGGGTGGTTCTCTCGCACAAGATTCGTGGCTGGCTCTTATCCAGAAGGTCAGACGCCGGGCCTCAAGGATCAAGAGGAATCATTTTTTGGCCCTCCCTTAAAAAAAGAAAAGCTGATTAACCAGAACAGTCAAGAGATCATCAGGCAAGCGTTGTAGGTGGTCCTGGAAATTGTTTTTCCTCTTGTCCAGAGGAGCAGTTTTCTCCATGGGTGATTAGATACTTTGAATGAATAAATAAATGGATGGACGGAAAGACAGACAGACAGGAGGGCCTCAAGGATCAAGAGGAATCATTTTTTGGCCCTCCCTTAAAAAAAGAGAAGCTGATTAACCAGAACAGTCAAGAGATCATCAGGCAAGCGTTGTAGGTGGTCCTGGAAATTGTTTTTCCTCTTGTTCAGGGTTATGCTTTATCGTGGTTTTCTGTTATTGTAGCATGTGCGTTTAATTTGTTATGCACCCAACCAGAGGAGCAGTTTTCTCCATGGGTGTTTAGATACTTTGAATGAATAAATAAATGGATGGAAAGACAGACAGACAGGAGGGGGGGGACTTTGCTGTGTTTTCCTCCCCCTGTTCTAGCTTCTGTAAGCAAAACACGGAAAGAGGTGCTATTCCTGTTTTTGCAAAGCATTTGTGGTAGTTCAGTCTCTGCTTCTCAGCCTTTTCTCCCTTCAGTCTCGCCAACGGCTAATTCCAATTTATGTTTAGTTGTAAAGACTGATGCATTGTCTTGGTGGTAGCAAACTGAAGCGAGGAAGAAGGATTCCATTCAGAATTCGCAATTACCGTTGCAATGGCACTGCCTTTTTTAAAGGAAAAAAAAAAACTCTCTCCGTGCAAAACACAGAAAAGACGACTTCCTTACCAATAAAATTGCAGTGGAAACTCTATGGCCTTAATGAGAAGCCGGTTGTGGCGTTTCACTGCCAAGCGCCTCAGTAGTCGGGGAAGGCTTCAGAGGGGGTCCTGCCTCCCGCCCAGACGACTCCTGCATCTCCCCCGCGAAAGATATGCCACGGGCTGAGAACCGTTGCTTGAGATAACGGCGGGTGCCTTTTTAGGTTTGTCAGGATTGGGCCCACCCGTACCAGGGTCATTCCTCCGAGCTGCGTTTTAACCCAGGCAAAACGGAAAAGAGGGATTCTGGCTAGGGTCTGGCTTCTCTCGCTGTTTGCCGTGCCCCGGCTTAGGCTTCTC